TTTTCCCAAAAAATAATTTTATTCCATAAATAGATTTATTTAGTGACCAAATTATAAATTTGATAAAGTTTGGTGACCAAAGTATAAACTTTAAAAGTTTAGGGACTAAAATGTAATTTTAAAAAGTTACATATGAGTCACGAAAATAATAAAATAAAAATATTATTTTCACATTTTTAAAATATTGGAAAATAATATTTAATGGTTTTATTTTATGTTTAATTTGAACCTTTGGATTAAGGTGACTGAATTGTAATTTTTGAAAATTACAGGGGCAAAATGGTAAAATTGGAAAATATTTTGTCCATCTTTAACTATTGGAAGATGATAAGGTTACTGTAGCTTGATATTAATGTAAATATCAAGTTTATTATGGGTAAATTAGTATGGATATTTTAATTTCAATGGTAAATTAGTAATTTAGTATTTAATGAATTTTTAATTCATTAAATATTAAAAAAAGATGATGAATTATCAAATCTTCATCATCTTCTCCTGCATCTTCACGTGAGTTCTCTTCCAAGGTAAGAAAATATTTCTTTTTCATTTTCGAGCTAATTTCCTTGAAATTTGAGTTATGTCGTGAACTAGGAAAGTGATCTACGCAAAAAACGCTATCATTTGGTACCGATATTTCTTTCTAATCTTGCTGGATTTCAAAGATCCCAAATCTAAGGGTTTATGTTCATGATATGATTCATAAAATTAATGATAAATCTTGATGAATCAGAGGTTGTAGATTCATATTCAAGCTTGATTTATGGTTAAAACATGTCCAGTCTTCCTAAAAATTATTATGTAAAATTCGGCCAAATTATAAGTTGGATAACTTTGTGTTCTGATGAGAGTTGATTAGGAATACGATTGTAAAGATGTTATAAGGCTGATTGAAAGTTGATTTCATGCTTGAATCGAATCAAAATCGAGCAAAATCATGAAAAACCTAGTTTTGGAACTTTAAGCCATTAGGCTTTGGACTTTAAGGATGAGAAAAATTATGGAAAAATTATATAATGTCTGGAAATAATGTAGAAAGTATTTTAAAAGCTTTGGAAAAATTTAGGGACTATTTTGTATTTTTTGAAAAGTTGAGGGACCAATTTGTAATTTTGGAAAAAGTTGGGAATTGTTGTATGATTGTCTAATAGTTGATGTACTATACTTTAAATTGTTGTTTTGGGATTGAAATTAGCATTTAGATGTGAAATATGACTATTTTGGAAGTTTGAAAAGACTAGTGATTTAAGTGGAACAATTATATAATTGGGGTGCTTAAAGGTAATTGTACCTTTGTAAAAGTAATTGGTTGGTAATAATTCCATTACTGGAATTTCTTGAATTTATGGAATTTCTGGTATTTAAAATTTAAGTGATAAAATGGTGAATGACCATTTTTTATAAATTGGAAAAGTTGGTGTCAATATTAAAAGGAATTATTAAGTGTTAAATATTTAGATGGAAAATGAGTTTCAAGTATATTATGGATTTTGTTTTGGAGATGTGTTTATGTTAGTATAATACTAATATATGTATTGTTATGAAATTGTGATTTGTACAGATCATGATTGATTTGTGACTAAGACAAGTCAAGTATAAAAGGATTATTGTGGACTATAGCGAGGAACATCTTTTGGATTTATAAAGTGTCAAGGTGAGTGCAAATTTAATTTGTACTTATGTTATAGAATAAACATTGGCTTGCGATGAGCCAGTGACAAAGTTACTATGGTAAGAAGTGACTCATAAAATGTTATTTGATTTGTGATGCATACATAACATTATATATGGATGTTTTATACATCATTGGGTAAGATTTACGATAAGTCTATTTTCCATGTTTGAATGCATGATTCCATAAGCATAAGAATGTGATTGATATGATTATTATGTGATTGATATTTACGACATGATTTACATGATTATATGTATATTCTATATGTGATACTGAACTACTTCAATATATGAGAATATGATATCAGCTGTGTGATATGTTTAACAAGTTATTTTATGTGACATGATTGATGTGAACATATGAGAATAAAATATGAGATACGTGAATATAATATATGTGAATACATTCATATGTGAGCAAGATATGACATACGTGTTTACATGAACACATGAGAAATGATATAAGTTATATGATACGATCTACATGATTACATACACATGTGATATATGTGATATGAACCTATGTAAGATGGGTTATATGAAAAGGTATCAATGAGATCATACGAGAATGTTATATGACTATGATCTATGAGATCATACAAGAATGATACAAGTGATGTGAACTGTTATAAATGATAATGCCCATGTTATGTGATATGAGAGCTAGTGATATAGTTAACATGCCAAGAATTAAGGGTTCTACGTGGCTCTTCGGGACATATATGAAATCCTCTGGAACATATATATGGTACTTCGGTACACTTATTTGGTCCATTTGAATATGTATTTGATTTTTAAGGAGTGGTCATTCGGGACAGATGACATCCTTAGGGATGATAGGTCCTTCGGGACATATGACATTCTGCGGGATGATAGGTCATTCGGGACATACATGGGGTCCTTCAAGATATATATGTAATCCTTTGGAACATATATGCGGTTCTTCGAGACATATATTTGGTCCTTTGGAACATATATGTGATTCTTAAGGAGTGGTCCTTTGGGACATATACGAGATCCTTCGGGATAATTTTTGCGTGCCCTAATGGGTCACTATACAAGCTGTGGAGCCAACATATGTGTGCACAACCTCAAAGTACTAACATACCTTGAGTTCTCAGTACTGTACATGGGTTATTACATGGGATTATAAAAGATATCAGTACTAATACATGAGATTATAAAAGATATCAGTATTGTATATGTGCCTAAAAAAGATATCAAAAGTATGCATGGAATAATACATGGACTATTAAAGAGATAACATAAATACACTGTATGTGATGTATATGCTTTGTTATGTGAAGTATATTACATGATGTATATGTGATATTGTGTGTATTGTTGAGTGAAATATATTACATGATAATGATATTGATGTTAAGAATGATAGAGGTCATGATAACGATATTGATGTTGATAATGATGGTATTTATGCATGTATGCATTATGTTATATGAAATGTTCTATGGTTTCTATTATATGCTTTATATGCCTCACTAAGTCAACGACTTAGCGTGCGATTGTTTCACACGTAGGTTCCGAGAAGAAGTAGAATGATAAAAGTTAAGCAAGACATGTTAGTTTCTCATTTCTAAAGATCATATCAGAAAACAATTGAATAGTATGTATTTTGTAAACTGATTATAGTTGGCATGTAAATAAAGATTTGAATCCGCTATGCGCAAATAAGTTTAATAAAATCTTATGATTTATTTTATGTAAATTATCCAGTCTTATTTAGTGAAAGTTTAAAATTATTCACTATTTTGTACAAGTAAATATTTTGAAAAGTCAATGTGACACCTCGGACTCGTATTCAGGTAGGGTACGGGTTTGGGGTGCTACAAAATAGTAGTAGTAATAAACATGTTTTTTTTGTTGGATTTTACTTTTTACCGTTAGGGTAAATTATATCACTAATCTTAAATTTTACATTATGTATCAATTTTGGCACTAAACTTCAAAATACTTTAATTTTAGACTGGTATTAGTTTTGTGAAACATCCATGATTGTTCAGGCCATTATCATGCTGCAGATGCTTTCGCGCTTGAGGCTCAAGCATGCCTTACCCTTTTGCGTTTTACTTTATTTAAAAGACTCATTTAATAAAATAAATGAAATTTGAATTAATTGTTTCACGAGACAATTAAATTTATGTTTTTTTAATTTAAATAATAAAATTTTAAAGAAAAAGAAAAAAAAATGGGACTAAGAAAAACTTACTGAAATGTTAAGTAATTTGTATGTTTTTTAGGATGTTCGACCTGGCCCTTTTGTGATTGTTTAGGTCCATTTCTTTTCTCCATTTAGATTTAGGTAGATTTTTTATCGATCAAAGTTTGTTTTATATGATATTGTTGTATTAATAATACATACAAAACCCCATTTCAATTTTTTAGTTTCATATATTATTTTTATGGTAAAGTATAGAAATTATCTCTCGATTATAAAATAATATTTTATTGAGTCCCTTAACTATTAAAAGTTACAAAATGATCTTCTGATTATAGGACATTGCTTTGTTGAGTCCATCGATTATTAAAAGTTATAAAATGATCAGTCGATTATTCAATATGTTCCAAACTCGTTTTTCTCGTTAAAAAATTAACGATAATCTGAGCTGGATGTTAACATGTTGACTCAGATATAATAGTTGTTTAAGACTACTGGATCATATTTTTTCATATCTCAATCAGCAGGTTGACGTCCAACTTAGGCTATCATCATTTGTTTTAATGGAAAATGACGAGTTTGGAACATCTGAATAGTCGAATAACTATTTTGTAATTTTAAAAGTCGAAAAACTCAATAAAGCAACACATTATAGTCAAGGGATGATTTTATAAATTTTAATAATTATAAGACTCAACAAAATAATGTTATATAATCAAGAAACTATTTGTATAGTTACCTTAGTTTTATAATCAACTAAAAGTAAAACAGAAAAGGGAGTCGCTCTTAGTTGAAGTGACAGAGAACTGATCTTGAATTTTGCTTCGTAAAAATTAATAATTTATATAAATATAAAAGAAAATATTTATCTTACTAACCAAATAAATGAGCTCATTGTCTTCCGTTACCAACTTAACATAGATGGACTAAAAAAAGTAAAATGGATTAAAAAGATCAGATTTATAAATTACGTAATCATTTTATAATTTTTAATAGTCAAGTTATTATTTTTGAAGGTTCACCCTTTTGTATTTATATGTTTTGCAAAATAACAAACTTTTTAGCTGAAATTCCACTTGCAATTTTCGGCTGAAAGAAAAGGTCAAAAAGCAAAAGAGGAATCCTTCTTTCGGTAGTTCGATATTCCATTTTCCCCTTTGTTTTTAATCCAAATTCCAACTTTTCGTCACAGATAAAAAAAATCCAAAGTTCTCGTTCTCTAACATCAAGAGCCGACGGTGATATAGTGATCCGATCCATCCCATCTGATGATTAGTTTCCAATCAAAGCATCAGTCGCAATTCAATTTCTCAATTCTCCTTACTTCCGATGCTTTCTTTATAATTTGCTTTAATTGCTTAAGATTTCGCCTCAAAATCTGATTGTATCTTCCCCTTGTTTTGATCAAAACCCTAAATCCGTTACATTTCTACTTTATTTTTTTTAAAAAAAGTCAAAATTTTCAATGGCTGATCGGAATAGATCATTTTCTATTGATGATTTACCGTCGCATCTAATTATAGAGATTTTGACATCCGGTAAACGGTTAAGTGCCGTTGACCTAGTGTCGCTGGAGCTTGCTTCGAGAACATTCGGAGGGAGTCACGGTGTTTATCCGACGAAATGCAGGTCGTTGGTTGATTTAGCGGCGTTTCAGTTATGCACGACGAATGGGATTTATATAGGGTTGAGTTGCAGTAGTCAACGGGACGTTTTTGAACGGTGTGACGGGAACTGGAAGCGCGTTTTGAGGTTTTTACAATCAGTGGAGCAATCGTCAGACATGGTCCAAACCTCTGCAGGCAATGTAACTATTTCTTTTTTTTATATGTATAATTCTTTTTTAGTTGCTTTTAGAATTATTAAATTTGTGTACTTTGATATTGTCTGTTAACTTTAGAAACGGTTCAGAATTTAGTTCTGATTTAGATTCTGTTTGTATTCGTATGGTTTGCTTTTGCTGGCGTGTTTGTATATAAAAGTAAATGGTAGTTGTTTAGTAATTTGAAGTTACGTCTTACTTTTGTTGTGAATAGTAAAATGCCTGGTTTTAGTTTTATACGGAGTAATTATGATTTAATTGGTGACGGAATTGGTTTAGATTAGTTTTTGAAGCAACAGAAGTAATAAAAGCAACTATAAAATTAATACTCAAATTACACATCAGTTGAAATTATGCTGAACACCACCCTTCTTTCATGGTGGATTATTCAGTATTTGGTATGGTTTCATTTTTGCCTGGTGCTAACATGGTGGTTTGGTAGTTCCTTATCATTTGTTTCTTTTTTCATGTTGATAGCATATTTAGAGCTATTATGTTTTTGTCTCTACCTCTTGTAGATCCTATATTGCCATCAAAACACTTGCGGTTACTCAACACTTATTATCAGTTTGGCTTACCAGATGCAGGTAACAACCGGAAGGTACCACACATTGCTAATTAGGAACTCATCAGTGTATTCTTGTGGTTCCAGTCTGTGTGGTGTCCTCGGACATGGTCCTGAAACAACACAATGTGTAGCATTTACGAGGATTAACTTCCCTTCTCCAGCTAATGTGATTCAGGTGTCAGCTTCTCAGAATCATGCTGCATTTGTTTTGCAGTCTGGAGAGGTTTGTTACTCACGTTATTTCAGTTTGCTATGTTTTTTAGTTGGCCAATAGCATACTCAGGGAGCATGCCATAAGCAAACCATATAGTTTCTTTTCATAGCAGCTGATGTCAAATTTTTGTAATTGCATATGGATGTTGGTGCTTAATGTGGTCTTGAAGTTTTAGTCCACCCACTTATGAAAAAGTCAAATATTACTTGACTGAATGCTGATAACATCACTATGTTGTGAATATGTAATGAAGGCAGATATTCATAAGTCGCAATCACTATATTTCTTATTTCTTCCTATCAAAAAAAAAATTTCTTATTTCTTAAACGGGAGCAAATTTTCAGTCTATTAACTGATGGATGGATCAATTCCTAATATATTGATACAACTAAATTTGATTATAAGTTTATTATAATGTGGAACCTAGCGAACATTTTCTTGGTTTTTTAGATAGAAAGGTTTGTAATGGTTGCGGCCTTTGTATGGTCTTCATATCTTAAATTCTGGGCAGAAGCAAGCTGAACCTAACCTAGAAAGCAGAATGTATAAATTTATGAGTCAGATTTGGTTATATTTAGCTCTTTTAGAGTATGAATAGCCATCTGTAAGCCTGCACTGATAGCTGATTAGTCGAGCAGGCCTTTTGTTGTACTTAGTTTGCTCTGGTGAAAAGCTTGAAATTGGCAGGCTTGAGTCTAACTCCAAACCTTTGTTGAATGAGCTGAGGTGATTTTTAATCTGGCTTGGCATGATTAAACAAAGCTCATGTTACTTGATTGTTATACAGTACTATAACCTTTTTTCTCATATGAGAGATGCCTCAATTAAGCATGGTTTAACTGATCCTTGCTTTTTAATGTATATAAAGTTCCAATGTTTTGGCTAATTTTATATGTTTTTCATCGACTTTATTTTGTGGTCACGGATTCGTGAATGCTTGCTTATTTTTCCAACATTTAAGTATGTATGTGATTGGTTTCTCTAGTGGTTTCCGTATTCATAGTGGCACCAATAACTTATGCAGGTTTTTACATGTGGAGACAATTCATCCTTTTGTTGTGGCCACAGAGATACAAGCCGCCCCATCTTTAGACCAAGGCTTGTTGAAGCAATGAAAGGAATTCCTTGTAAACAGGTATACTGTATTTGTCTTCATTATATGGTGTAACGTGTAAGAATAGTTTTGCATGAGCGTTTTAGCACCTTGTACTAAAGGTTCTGCAATAAGTGGATCTTAAACTTCTTTCTATGTTTATATTAGTATCTTATTTATTGGTTGTATTTTTTGTTGTTTTTATCATTTATGCTCTGTCATCTTTATTACCTTTGTTCATTTGAGGAGAGAGTAAAATTTTCACTACGATAGCCTTCTGTTTTTGCTGCCAGCTTGTTTTGGTTATCACCATAACTATTGTGCTCCATAAGCTGATGATTGCCATGAACCCTATCAAGTATGATGGTTAAGCTTACATATAGTTCAGAAGGTGTCAGTAATATTGTTTATGTTTGTTGGTGATAAAGGTTTAAGCCATCAAAAACCATGTTCTTTGTGATAGACTAATTCTTCATTTAACGTTTAATGTCAGGGCAGAGAGAATTTTTGCAATAAAGCAAAAATTTAGTATAATCCGACGAGTTGATTTCGAAGTTAGACCATTATTATTGTCATGGCAAGAATTTAATAAGAACTTGCTGCATCTTCTTTTACATGGTTTCAGGTAGCTGCTGGACTGAATTTTACTGTGTTTCTTACAAGACAAGGGCATGTTTATACATGTGGAACTAACACACATGGGCAGTTGGGTCATGGTGACACTCAAGACCGATCAACCCCCAAAATGGTTGAACTGCTTGAGAGAGTTGGTTCTGTAGTTCAGATTGCTGCTGGCCCAAGCTATGTTTTAGCTGTAGCAGACAATGGAATAGTCTATTCTTTTGGTTCTGGTTCTAACTTTTGCCTTGGCCATGGAGAGCAGCAAAATGAATTCCACCCACGTGCTATCCAGACATTTAAGAGAAAGGGTATTCATGTTCTCCGTGTCTCTGCTGGTGATGAGCATGTTGTGGCAGTTGATTCAAGTGGATATGTGAGTCTCTGCATTTGATTTGAACTTTTTAGTTGTTTTTTATGCTTTTTTTATGGTTTTACAGTTTTCTATGCTTGTTGTAGGTGTATACCTGGGGAAAAGGTTACTGTGGTGAATTAGGCCATGGAGATGAAATCGACAAGACTCTTCCAGAACACTTGATCATCCTTAAGAGTCAGCTTGCTGTTCAGGTGAGCCTTATCCACCATTATAACGTATCTTATGGAGTAATATGTATGAGTGAATCAGAATGTACTATTAACTCTACTTGTGCAGAAGACCTATATCAAACTTGAGAACTCTGTTCTCTTAATGAAATCAAGAATTGGTCTTCCATTCGGTCTATGTGCTGATAATATTTAATTCTGAGTACATAGCAAAGCTAACATGGATGCTTGTAGTCTCTAGCCTTCATATGCATGCATCTCTATTCATGACTATATTTGTCACTAGAAGAATCCATTTGATTTACCAGCAGCCATGGTGTCATTTGGTAGTGTTGGACTCTTAATTTCAGTGATCACATCACATTCAATTCCTATAACTTCAATTAGCAGGGGGGTGGGGGGGGGGGAGAGAAGAAGAAACCTATTGATTTTGTTTATTAAAAAGGCATGTTTTGCTTGCATGATTGAATGATGATTGTAACAATTTGATGTAGGTTTGTGCAAGAAAGAGGAAAACATTTGTTCTGGTTGATGGTGGTTTTGTCTATGGCTTTGGGTGGATGGGATTTGGCAGTCTAGGTTTTCCGGATAGGGGTTTATCGGACAAAATTATGAGACCTAGAATCCTTAATTGCTTGAGAGGTCACCACGTTTCACAGGTTAGTACAGGTCTGTACCACACTGTGGTGGTAACTCACCAGGGGAGGGTGTTTGGATTTGGGGACAATGAGAGAGCACAACTTGGTCATGACACATTGAGAGGTTGTCTCGAACCTTCCGAGATTTTTATTCATGAAATGGAAGACGAAACAACTCTTTTTTCACAAAGCAGATGAAATGCAATTAATTACATCTGTTTTTATGGAAGTTAGTGACTGTTGGGTTCCCACTTGAGAGGAGAAACGCTGTTTCCCCCTAAAAATATTGTAGAATTATATGAATTTTAACTGCGCATTCTGGATACCAACTATTCTATTTTAACTGCGCATTCTGGATACCAATTATATGAAATTTCCATGCATAATTTTTTTGCATTGCATGTAGCCTGCCTAGACGAGTATTTTCTGTCACCATAGCTAGAGAGATTATGTCACCTGCGATCTTACAGCTATTTTGCTTCTAAGAATAAACTATACACTGAACAAATTTATGAATTGACGAAAGCTTAGATCATGTGATACTTACAGGTCTTGCCTCTGTAGTCGCAATTTACTACTTGATAGTCAAATCTCCATGTCTTAACAGGTAAAGTGATAGTATTATTTGGCATACAACTTATCTGCCGCAATATTTGAAGTTCAATCAAAAATGAAAACTTGAAACCTGGAATCTCGGTTTCACCAGAATCATACTCTGCAAAAGCTTTTAATGGATAAGTTCGATGGGGGAACTTTTCATATGAAATCAAAATGTGATTTTCATTGGTTAAAGATCTAAAATTTCATGCTTATTCACCAGACTTCTGGTAGTGCATGAAACGAAACAACTAGAACAAGGTGCATAATGTCTTTTTCTTCAGTTATCCATCTTTTCTGTGTTATTTGGACTCTTCATTTTTCCTATAGTATTCATGTCCACCGCATATGTCCGACGCATAAATATGATAGGATGGTATGACATGTGATTTTCTCCAAATATGCAAAAGATTTTACAAAAATAGAAAAATTATACTCGGGACACTCAACCGAGTCTAGCAAACAAGTTTTCAGGAAAGGTAGGGAAAGCAAAAGAGGTAGTGAACTTAAGGTTGAGTAAAACTTAACTCGAAAAATTATTTTTTTGATTAGATTTGATACAAATTGACTTCGAGTTGTAGTTCCATAAACTAGACTCGATACAAAAAAATCATGTTTAAATTGAATTATAAAATACAACTCGAATAACTCGAAATTTTTAATAATTAGTCGAATTGTTTTCAAGTTTGAGTCGAGTTTTTAGACTTTGTATGATATATGTATATCATATATGGAAAAATATGAAGAAATATATATGTATTGTATATGGTTATAAAAAAATCATTTAAATTGGAATAAAATAATATCATAATATTATAAATATATATAATTAAATTTAAACATAAATTCAAAAACTTAACTCACTCGACTTGAAAAAAAATTCAAATTAAGTTTGAGTTATAAAATATGATTTTCAACTCGAATAAGTCAAAAAAAAATTAGTCAACTCGATCGAGTGCTCACCGTGAACCAGGTTTAATATAAAGTTCCTGATCTGGTGACCATAAAATTAACTCTGCATAAAACAAAACCAGGGGAAGGACAGGGTCGGTTTCGTATTTAGGTAGGTCTACCTGTTAGCCATCAACTGGGTTGATAAAGACTAGATCTTGGTAGATGTAGCACTACCATTTTCCAGTCCTTGTGTAACTTATTAGACTTTTGGCTGCTTAAGGGTAATGAGATTATTGGTGGGCGGCGTTTCTATCATAATATGGGACGACTAGGTAGGAATTTGACATTTCCCCCATTTTAAACAGGATTTAGGAACAGATTGTATTGAAAGAATGATATTGACAATCCTGTCTGTCTGTTTGTTGGAAAACGATTGCCATTTTCTTCGTCTTCCAAATAACTCTTGTTTCCAAAGGTTCTTGCATGGCCATTTTCACATAACTGTTATGGGCCTGGAGATGTCATGGATCTGCTGTGCAAGTCTTGGGCCCGATGAGTCGCAGTCGAGTTGTGTCGCTGTCCATGACTCAAAGCTTCACCTAAACCTTCGACACTTATGTAAGACTCCAACTGAAGTAGCTGTCTATAACACATGCTCCTTCTTCAAACATTTTTAGCCTCATCTCATTTGTCTCCTTGTTTATTGGTCACTTTCACCTCCGTATACATATCAATGATAATTTATATTATCATAATACCATAACATACTTAATGAATTTAAGTCGGGTTTATTTTCAAACTAATTTTTTAGTTATATATATCAACTTCGAGAAATCAAATGTATACCAAGTTTTGGTTGGTACCAGAACATTAATACTGGTTGGTAATAGTAGTTGAAATAATCAATATCGACCCACTTGTCGTTGCTACAAAGAATATTGTTCTATTGTAAGTTCGGGGGTAAACATTTCAAGTCCAATTACTATTTAATATTAAAACTTGTTTATGTTAAATTATAAAAATATATACTACCTATAATTAATAAAATGAGGGGGTAAATAATTTTACAAAAGGTTGTATACGTTATAAATTAAATTGGTTTTTAGATGCGAAGTAGAAGAATTTAAGTCAGCGGGGAAGCTCTAATCATTAAAGAGATTTATTGGGGTCCTACTCTCCTACCAACATTATATATATACAATACTTCTTTTGCCAAGATTCACATGTATATTTCCATTCACACGTGTAATCTGTTTGAAACATTAACATGAGATATAATGTTAAAATTAGCTTTTTATAGTTATTAAAATGGTCATTTTAATTTATTTTTTTGAGTATTTTGGTTCTAATATTTTTTTGTGTGCAAAAAGACTATAATATTAAATGAATATTCACTTTAACCCTTATTATTTTTTTAGAGCATTTTGGCCCCCAACGTTTCATTTTAGAATAAAAATCATCTATTTTGGAACATTAATCTTTTGTTAACTAACGATTTTCATTCACTAATGGACTTTTTTGTCTCAAAATGAAACGTTAATAGTTAAAGTACTCTAAGAATACAAATGATCATTTTAATAAATATTAGAGGGTTAATTTTAGCATTATGCCTAAACAGAATCCATAGCAAGCTTAAGCTGCCTTTTCAAGTAAGGCCACTTTGTCTTCTTCTTCATATACATGCAGTGCAGGCACTAGTGGATCCATTTAGGATAGAATAGAGACGTGTTCATTCTGAAATCTGAATTTTATTCGATAAATTATTTTTTTATTAATCATATCTGTTTTAAAATTTTATTTATACTCACCTCACACGAAATATTCTTGCTATTAATGCACGCGAGTTCATCTCCAAAAAAATTTATAAGTCTCACTGCCTGACGGTCCATTGAATTGCATCAACTCAAGTCCCTTTGAAATATGAAACCAAGAGTGATCGCATATATTGAGAATCAAACTTCATATTGGTTGAATATCACTTTCATGTTTTAAGCTCAGTGATTGTATATGTTAATATTCCAACTTGAGATTCGCAGAATCCATGTTCTTAATGAGTCAGTGTCGTATGAGTACGGGTCATATGCTCACATGGTTGCATGAATAAACTGATCAGCGCGATCTGTGTCTGCATACTCAATTCCAAGTACCTTTCAAACCACATGAGAAGAATCTTTAACCAGAATCATGAAATGGAAGACCAAATCCTTTTGTATTTTACTTTTTGTAGTTTGATAATCTTAAAAATAAGAGAAAAATAAAAGCAAACAAATCACACGATCATATATGATTATATCAAACTCCTCATCTCACATGACAATAAGAAGAAAAAAAAGATCCAATATTCACACAATGGTGTTTATTCTTCCTCTACCTGCAGCTTCAACTGAGCTCTGCCAGCATTGTTAGCATCGACAAAAGCCCTTAAAAAGATGATCAGCGACATCTTAGGCCATGGTTTCAATATTTTCCCGGAAAACTTTTAACATATCAGAAAATGTGACAATCCCAACCAAGCTACAATCATCCTCTATCACCCAAACATAGTTCACCCTATGAGCAATGGCTTGGATCATGACTGCAACAAGTGAGCTCTTGGGCTGGCAAACAATTGCCTCAGATCTTCTCACCATCCTGGCCGAATAACTCATCGACCTGCTCAGCCTCCCGGGTCTCAGCAACGACGAAACCGGAGCTGCCACTGAGTATTCCTCGTCGGACGATGAAGATGCAGATGAGAACCCACCACCACTAGACATTGAAACAGTGAAATGTTGAAGCATCCCATTCAGGTTTCTCTCCTTCAGCTTTGCAGAAACCACCTTGACAAGTTCCTCCGGGGGACCTCCACAGTCGATGTAAGCCATTAGATCCCCGGATGACAAGGTCGTGACCGCCGCCGCCACTGTCTCATCACAGCAGGCCAAGGTGAAGGGTGAAATCTCGCCGATCAAGGTTCCCTCGCTGTCAACTACTGCCACCGAGGTTTGCTCCACCAGAGCTCGAGAGATGGCTCCAATGGCGGCTGAGGCAGGTGAGTGGTACTCGCTAGTGATGGTGTTGGGGCTTATTATGTTAAGGGTGTCGATGGATAAAGCAGGGATCGGTGAAAAGAGACCGATGGAGCTTAGTAGGAATCTGATAACATCTTCTTGAGTTAGCCAGCAAAATTCACGGCCTTTGTGGTTAGTGACCGTAAGCGAAGGCTTTTGCTGCTGTTTTGATCTCTTGTTGCTCAGCTTCGTTTTGATTGGTACCACAAGGTTCTGTGCTCCTTCAAGTATAAGATCAATTGCTTCCAACAAGCTGGAAAAGAAATTGAAAATCCAACATTTATGATCAATTACTTGAAATTCAAGCATAAGTACCTTTAATTAATCAAGTTTCAAACAAGATGATGGGACATGATTTTCCAGTCTGACAAGAAACTCAAACTTTTATCTCATGTTTGAAAAATCCAAATATCTTAAAAACATAGAAAGAAGTGAAGAAAAATCCCAGAGATTGTGTGTACCTGCAAGACGGTTCCACAAGCAAAACAAGCCAGGAATCTTAGGCAAAAGTACAGAAACAGGCTGCTTCAAAGCAACAGGAGGTGACAACAAATTTTCATCTCTGCATAGATAACAAATCACATCAACGATGCAAACCTTGCCAACACATCGACACTCGTCAGAGAAACCAGCAGCTGATTCAAAGCCTGAACTAGTTTTGAGCTTATGGTCACAACTCCAGA